TTTTTTCAAATAGGTAAGAAAAAACATGGGTGTCTTCAAACACAGCAACGAATTGAAGCTCTGTGTATCGGCCAAGAGGATGTACAGGGCCATGGTTACTGAAACCCATACCATCCCCCTTCCGCCAGCCATCAAGAGCAGCGAGCTCCTCCATGGTGATGGCGGTGCCGGAAGCATTAGGAAGACAAATCTTGCAGATGGTCAGTATTGAATTATAACTAATGATACTATTTTTAAAGGTGAATTATTTGGAGAGTGTATTCAATCGTGATTTATAAAGAGTTCATAAGACTTTGAAAATTTTGATTTATTCAATTTAGATTTGAGAGATTTTAAAAAGTCCTCCAAAATCCTGAGGTATTCACGTTAAGACTTTTTAATATTTGGTGGGATTTCTAAAGAAAAACCTTATACAGAATTCTATTTCAAATCTCACCTCCATACTTAAGATTTCGAATTCTATTTCAAATCCCACCTCCATACTTAAGAATCACAGAATTCTTCCAAAATTTAAAAATCTTAGAAAGTCTCAAATCTTATTAAAAAGTTTCAAAATGTCACTTGAATCCTAATTGAATACACCCTTTTACTAATGAGTTTGTAGCAATTAATGAAGTGTAACATGTCTCTTGTTTGCACCAACTAATAAACTTATGCACTATGCATGTTCCTTGTTGTGACATGATAACAGGTAGTCACCTCAAGGAAATCATCGAAGCCCTCGACAACGACAACTACGCCAGCAAGCACACAGTGACAGAAGGAGCTTTGCTTGGGGACAAGATGGAGTCGATTCACTACGAGCAGAAGTTTGAGGACACAAAGGAGGGATGTGTTGCAAAGATAGTGAACGAGTACCACACCAACGGTGATGCCCACCTTAGTGATGAGGAGATCAAGACAACGGCTGAGCAAGCCCTTTCTTTCTACAAGCTTACTGAAGAATTTCTCCTTGCCCATCCTGAGTTGTGCGCCTAAGTAAAGCTTCTCGTGTTATCCATCTTATTATATGTACTTGAGTAAATATCCTATGTAAGCCAACTAATTTACTCCTTGTGTTCTGTGAAATAAGGCTTGCAATAATAAGCATTTCATCGTTGTTTATATATCTCATATGGATCCCATATTCAAAATTTATACATCATATTTCTAGAACCAAATTTCATTAAGTAATACGAATGTAACGACACCAAAAAAACAAGATGAACACAATGCCCAACTGTAATTCTCCGAAAGTCGGTAACAAACAAACCACTTCTCAGACATTTAAAAAAAAAAAAAAAAAAA